ATTTTTTGATGACCTAAAATCCGAAGCCTAATAATAGAGTAAAATTTTTTAAATATTCATGATGAAAGTCAAATTTTCGAGAGAGAAATATGCTATATATAATTTCTTGTAACCAACATGCTTCCAGGCGGCAGAAATTCTTATTTGGTGATAGACATGGTTGAAATTTGAAAACGAAACAACAATTTTAGATCCAAATTTAAGTTCGGAAAAGAAAGCTGTTTCGGAGAAGATACCTTCTCTGGAAAGTGACGATATTGCTGATGGTGTTCTGCACGCGCTACCTGGACCTGACTATGTTCAAGTGTATTAAAATGTTTGTCTTCTGTATAACAATTTTCCCTTTCTCTAGATCCATGAGCTTACCATTAAACCTCTTGATGAAAATTTTTGACACGGTGTAAGAACCGTTAAAGGGAAATTTTATGTTTAAACTAAAACTGAGAGTTTCATAACATTATTTTGTAAAATTTGGTAATGAAGTCTTTAATTTTTAATACTAATTTGAGTTTAGAAAAATACATTTTTTCCTAACTACAATGGAAAATAAAACAAAAGACAATGTTAACTACAATGTTAACTATAAAAAAGTTTTGTTCTTAGCTTATTAGCAATTTAGCGCAACTGTTTTTACAGCCCTCTTGCTTCTCTCATACTATTTTAAGATATTCGTATTTTAATCTCAACACAATTTTCGGGGTACGATTCAGCAACGTTCCAATTCCCATGACGTTTGACAATTATGATATCAGCCCCCAACCTCAGAGGTGAATGACAGTGTTATATCTCCAAATTTTCGGGAAACTGGAGTGAACTATTTATTCCTGATTTAATCAATAAAATAAATTAACTTATTCATTAATTTTTTTGAGTGACCTATTAAGCAAATCTAAAAAATATGAATGGAATGATAAATCGCAAGTACAGACTCATCATAGTTAGTACATTTTAGATAGGCCACATTCAGCAAAATTTTGGAGATGACGTCATAAATTTTTTAGGAGGGATGAGCAAATACATTTTGAATAAAAATTTACCATGCTTATGATAACTGTAAAACATCTCCAAGATTTCAAAGCATTCGGTTTTGTACTTCCTGATTAATTCAATAAAATATATTCACGCATTCATTATTTTTGTAAGTCATCCCGTATATGCAAATCCGAAAAATATGAATGGAATGATGAATCACAAGTACACACGCATCATATTGTATACATTTTAGGTAGGATTTATTCGGCAAAATTTTGAGCTGACGTCATCAATTTTTTGGAGGGGATAAGTAAATAAATTTTGATAAAAAATCTAACATGCTTATCACAACTGTAAACCATCTGCAGAATTTCAAAGCGTTCGGTTTTGCAGATTCCAAATTAAATTACCAAATGTTGTTTCATAATTTTGATTGGTTTTCCAAAACTCAATTCGGAATCACAAACTACATGTGTAGTTATGTTATTTTATACAATTTAAAACCCACTTACTATGTATAATTTTGAAGTGACGTCATCACATTGGTGGTTGGGGTGATTAGACACCATCTACATGATATTTCTAATATAAATACAAAATTTGACAACAATCGGTCCAGTACTTTCGGAGATTATCTGTATAATAAAAATCCGGGACGGCAGACAGACAGACAGACGGAAAAGGGAGACCTATTTCTTCGTACTCTAGGGGTCATGGAAGATTGAGAAAACGTAAAAGTAGAGAATCGGCCGACGGACTCGATTACAATACTTCCTTCGCTTACGCTCGGGAACTAAAAACAAGATTGTATACGATTATTTTTATTTTATTTTTTTTTTTATTTTTATTAAATATATTTTTACTGTAAGAATTTCGAGAATTTTGCTATCACAAAAAGATCATTTTAAAAACAGGGCAACAAAATTATAATAAAAAAATACTTAAAACCACAAAAATGTGTTTTTTAGTATTTTAAGATATGTTATCACAAGAAAAAAGTATGCACATTTTTTTTTGTTCATGCGTGCTTGTCGAAGGTACTTACTATTTCATTTGTATGTATTTTTACATAATAAACCTAATTTAAAAGTTTTCATATTAAGTTTACTCAAAATTAGTATCGACAAAAATATAAAATGTAAATTTGAACAGTACTTTATTCTTATTATAATTTTTCAGGCTTCTGTCGCTACAAGTTGCCTTTTTCTTGTTGGTGATCGTACTGGTAAGTTAAATATGCAGAAACGCCTGTACTTCGTGATAAAACAAACTTTTGAATTTGATAACGTTTTTATTATTAATTACTAAAATAATTTTGTATGAATTAATTAAACCGTTCGAACTAACTATTGTTTATTCAAGTTAAAAATAACTTGCTTAGCATAACATCGTTTAGAAGTTTGTTCTACATAAAAAAGGTTTAAAATATAGTAAAGCCACTAAAAGATATCGAAAAAGTACTTTTAAAGTATATATTTAAATGTCCATGTATCTTAAAATGAATAAACATGGCTGAGCTTGCCTATATAAGGACACTTGTGAGCGGCACTTTACTATTATTTTTGTAAACATGAAATTTGCTGTTTATTTTGCTGCTGTGGCATTAATGGCCACAATGTGGGTACGTATTTTTGTATAAAAAGTGTCTTTGAAAAATTCATATATCGCAATGTCTCTGTAAAACCGTTATTTAAATTTTAATTATAAAACACAACCTTAATGTAAAAACATGTTTTCTTACAAGCGTCAATTTTTTTATTTAAATAAAAATAAAATTTTCCAACGAGTGCTGGATGTATGAATCATTTGTAGACACTCTGTAGAAACATAACTAAAAATTTAAATGAATAAAATGTAAAAATTTACTCATGAGTAAAACAGGTAGATTATTATTCAATAATTACTCTAAATTTTTCATTTTCAGGTTTCTGGAGTAATAGGCTCCCCAATGCCTGGTGGTGGCATAAGAAAGTAATGTCGAGTTCAGTGCTGGGACAACAATTTCCCAAGTTGTACCTACGCCACTAAAAAAATAAAATTTTGAGTAATGTTTACCAGTGGTTTTGTTGAGCCCAAAAACTCAGCACGGTTAGCTTGAAATACTTTTAACTGAAAAGTAACTAACTTCTAATTTTTTTGCATAGCATAGTTTCTTTAAGTTTTGTGAACCTTTTAAACAAAAAAGGAAAAAAATCGCTAGAGCCGTTTTTTAAAAAAACATGTTTTAGTGAATTCCATAGAATCAGATCTGTTTAGTTGAGTTGGCTGGGCTTTGAATCGTTTTATTGTGTGTCAAAAATATGTCAAACATTGTTACAGTTTAGTGTCATTGGTGGACACACAAAAATGTTTCAAACAGACCATGAAAAAAATAGAAATGACCGTTCATTCGTAAATCATTTTACGACACTAAATTAATAATAATAAAAAAATGTTTGAAAACTTCCCTCGCACCTAAAGTACAGTCAAACATATTCAGCATTTTTGAGTTCAGTTTTTACTTTTGCATTTTAACACTCTTAAATTTCACAAGTTTGTACAAGATTAATAGAGGCAACATCAGTTTTATCTTGAATTTAATGCGACGTGGACAAAATATAAAGTACCCAAAAATAACTCGAATTATCCTACAAAATTCTTACTTGCCCTTTGCGAATACAATAGCCTTCAGGTTTAAAATTTGTGTTTTATTTACACGTTTAAATCACATTCGAATTCACATATTTACTCTCAAAATTGGACCTTTAACACAAAAAACAATATTTTGGAAATATTTCAAAAACGGCCCTAACGATTTTTTTCTTTTTGGGTCTAAAATGTTTACACAACTTAACGAGACTATAGTGCGCAAAAAAAAATCAGAGGTGCAAGCACTTTTGAGTTAAAAATATTTCAAGCTAGCCGTGTCAGTTAACACAGTCCCAACCCGGAAAACGATCATGTATTGACTCCGACTCTGAGGCCTCCGGAATTATATCTACTACACTGTTAACGGAGTGGCACGTATGTTGTGCCAGGTCTGCCGAGATCCTATTTCGTTGTACCTAGAAATGCGAATTTAGTTTTTAAAACGCGTAATATTTAAGATAGAGCTCGGTGTCGAGGTCATCGAGGCCGGTATGAACTGAGTCTGAACATCGGCATGTAACGCCGCGTTATAGAAAGAGAGAAAAAGAATTAAACTATCAAACAATATGTACATGAAACGCTTCAAAGAGTGGTGCTGATTCCGTCTTTTAGTACCCCCGAGATGCTCTAAAAAGAACACAACCTACACTCACTGTTAGAATTCAAATAGTATCTAGACCACAGCGACCCTCGGGAAGCGGAAATAATGTGGTTTCTAGAATTTCCGCCACATGCATTTGTATATTCATGAATCATGACATATGTGAGGAGAATGTTTTAAGCCCGTACCCACTGAATTTATCGTAAGATATTTTGTTCAGCTAAATCAAAGTCTCTGTACTCTGTCCAATGCAACATATTTTTGGTTTTTATTATTTTTTAAGAGAAAATTAATGACTTCCTATACGTGTTTAATTTATATAAATTGACAACGCAGAGTTAAAACTCCATCCGTGCGTCCCTGGGTCAACGGACTCTTTTTTTTATAATAATTGTTTATTTATTACATTTTACTGTGTATAAGTAATAAACGAAAAAAATTATATCAAATTATCTAAAATTTTATTGTTCGTAGGTTAAACACTCAGAAAAAATATCAAAAGTGTTTGAATCAACCACGAAGCAATCTCAAAATAGAGGACGCATGCCTCTAAAGATGCTACCAATGCACTTTCTATCACGTTATTGCTTTGGTGTGTTCTTCTCAAAATATTTCCACCCTAGAAAACTCTAGAAAACAAAATCGAAAGATCTTAAAAAATGGCTACTAATTTATGGATCTTTCGCCGCAATATAATTAGCATATTGTCCATAAAAATGTGATGACTTTTTTTAGCTGAATTACCAATATTGATACGCATGTTATAAATGGTGATGTTTCAAAAATTAATAAAACTTAACATCAGAAAAATATCTTTATTGAAAAACCACTCCCAAATCACATCAGTAACAATATTATTAAAATATATAAGAATACTTTTCGGGAAACAATGTCCCACAAATATTTTTAAATGGGATTAATTGTGAGCTCATGAACCTGTAACAAAACCCAACATAACTCTTCTCACATACTTAAATTATAACTTACCTGGACATGCTCTGGAGTAGACAACGCATACACGACCCCATCTGCTATATCCTGAGCTTGCAAAATCGGCATCTTTGCAAGCGCGGCTTTAACTTCGGCCGGAGCATCCTTATTCATCGTAGTCAGACCAGTGGCAACCAAACCCGGACTAACGCTCTAGAAACAGACTCAAATTTCAAAAACCTTTGACCCTCCATCCACTTACTGTCACTCTAATTTTGCAACCAGAAGCCGCCAGCTCTTGTCGAAGGGTTTCAGTAAGAGCAGTGACTGCGAATTTCGACGCCGGATAAACGTTCCAGTTGTAGGTGGTAATCTGGTGTCCGAAGGTACTGTTAATGTGGATAATATGTCCGTTGATTTTGTTGGCTTTCATCATCTTCACTGCTTCCTTTGTGGCAACGCATAGGGAAAGGATGTTCAAGTCGAGGGTTTTTTTCCAATCTTCGGGCGCAGTTTCCAGTAAAGTACCCATACTGGCAGTACCGGCATTGTTGACCAAAATGTGCACAGGCCCGCAATTTTTCTCGATCCATTTGAAAGCTTTCACAATATCTTCCTCCTTACTGACGTCGGCTTTCAAGGCGTGAAGCTTTCCCTTTTTTCCGGCGAGTTGCTTAGCGCGTTGTTCGACGATTTCGGAACGACGCGCTATACCAACAACCTGGGTACACAATAAAATAATCATAATAATAACTAATAACACTGGCCAAAATACAAATTAGTAGAAACCTAGGATCAAGTAGATGCCTGAAAAATAATGTTTTTTCTAAAATATGTTACTGGTAATAATTTTTAAGTATTAGGGTGCCTAAAAATTTTAAAAATTTTGTAGTTTCAGCTTTCTGATGGGGATTGGATTAGAAATTTCATATATTTGACACTCTTTAACTGTCAGAAGTTTTGTAGATTGTGGATTAAACAAAATGTTTTGAGGAGTTATAACAATTCTGGAGATTTTAGAAAATTTAGAGATTCTACCATAGCTTTTGGAAATTTGGAGTTTCAAATTCTTTAAAACATAAAACAAAAGGAGTGCCAAAGCTTTTTTTTATATTCTAAAAAAGAGGTACTAAAGAACTCTAATACTCTTTCAAACTTTCCACGAAATCTTGGAGACTTTTCAAAAATTCTATGTTTCTACAGATTTTACAGGTTCTTAACATTCTGAAGAATATGTAAATATGCTACAAATTCTAGGTGTTCTGGATATCTGTAAATCTTCGAAATCTGAGCTACTTGTAGGTATTAGAGTGTCGAGAAATTTTAGAAATACCACAGATTCCAAAAAATTCCCAAATTACTAAATATTTTAAGATTTTTAGAGGATTTATAAATTTCGGATATTTTGCACTCCTTAGATATCAGAAGTTTTGTAGGTTATACATTAAACAAGATCTATAAGTCTTCAGTGTAAAGGTTTTGCAGATTTTAGAAAATGTTCAATTTTTAAGAATGTTTTAAAGATCTCCCATGTCATAGAGTTTTTGAAATTTGAAAAATTTTATCCACCGTGTAAATTTTAAAGATACTAAATATTCTATAAATTGTAGAGATTTAGCTTCAAAAAATTTTAAAAATTAGGAAATTTCATGAATTGCCCTATCTTGCAATATCTGACGTTTAAAACATCTATATTTTTTTGAGTGGTCATAAGGATTCTGGACATTTCAGAAAATGTTGAATTTTAGAGACTTTGATCAATCGAGGCTTTCAAAGATTTTACATATCAAAGATTGTAGAAATTTGGAATTTCAAATTCTTTAAAACATAAAACAAAAGGAGACTTTTCGAAAATTTTCTATAGATTTTAGAGGTTCTTAACATTCTGAAGAATATGTCAATATTCTACAAAGTCTAGGTGTTCTGGATATCTACCTGGAAATCTTGTAAATGTGAGCTATTTTTAGGTACTATAGTGTGTAGAAATTTTGTAAATGTGTGCTATTTGTAGGTATTATTATGTCTAGAAATTTTAGAAATACCAAAGATTCTAAAAAATTCCAAAATTATGACGTTTCAATAGACACTAGTTACGAGTATTCCAGCTTTTTGGATATATAATGTTTTTATATTTTAGCATGTTTTAGTATAGAAATTTTATGTAGTGCTTGAATTTTAAAGATGTTAAACATTATATAAACTGTAGAGACTATTGAATTAAGAATTTTAAACAACTTTTAAAAAATTAAGTATTACGAAATTTCACGAACTTTCGTTATTTTTGCAATATCTGACGTTTAAAACATCTATAATTTTTTGGTTGATTATAAAAACTCTGGAGATTTTAGAAAATGTGGAATTTTAGAGATTCTGATCAATCTAGGATTTTAGAGCTGAAGATTTTATATAGGTACCGTAGATTTTAGAAATTTGGAATTTCAAACTCTTTAAACAATAGAACCAAAGAAGTACCGAAGGTTATTTTATATTCTAAAAAAAAGATACTAGAGGGCCCTAACATTGTTTCAAAATGTTCAAGAAATTTTGGAGACTTTTTAAAAATTCCATGTTTCAAGAGATTTTACATTTTCAACGTTCTGTAGAATATGTAAACATTCTACTAATTCTAGATGTTCTAGAAATATAGTAAATCTGAGATATTTTTAGGTGTTAGAGTATCTGAAAATTTTAGAGATACCATCAAAGATTCTAAAAATTTCCAAAATTTTGAAGTTTCAGTAGACACTAATTATTCTAGCTTTCTGGATACATAAATTGTTTTAAATATTTTAACGTTTTTTTATATAGGATTTCAAAATTTCAGACATTTTGCACCTCTTAAACAGGAGAAGTTTTGTAGATTAATCAAAATCTATAATTTTACGGTGTAAAGGTTTTGAGATTTTAGAAAATGTTTAATTTTAGAGATTCTGAGCAATCTAGAATTTTACCGCCTTCAAAGATTTTACATGTCATAGATTTTGGAAATTTGGAATTTCAAGTTCTTTAAAACATAAAACAAAAGGACAGTTCCTTTATATTCTAAAAAAAATTGGTCTAAAGAGTTTAGACAGTACTTTCCTCGCTGTCGGAAACGTGATGACCGGATTTATTATTGTTTTTTTTCGCATTAGATTTCAAAGCATTTGGTTTTGTAGTTCTTGATTAAATCAAAAAAATAAATTTGCGCATTCATTAAATTTTTTGAGTCACCCTGTACATCCAAATCCAAAAAATATGATTGCAATGATAAATTACAAGAAGAGACTCATCATATTTTGTACATTTTAGATACGATTATTCGGCAAACTTTTGAGCTGACGTCATCAATTTTTTCGACGGGATAAGCAAATTTATTTTGACTAAAAATTTATTATGCTTTTTATAACCTTAAAACATTTAGAAAATTTGAAAGCATTCGGTTCTGTAGTTCCTGATTAAATCAATAAAATAAATTCAGGCATTCATTAATTTTTTTGGGTCACCCTGTATATGCATATCTAAAAAAAATGAATGTACCGATAAATAACAACGTAGACTTATCATATTTCGTACATTTTAGATAGGATTTATTCAGCAAAATTTTTGGGTGACGTCATCAATTTTTTGAAAGGGACAACTAAAACTATTGTGATTAAAATTTCATCATGCTTATCATAACTGTAAACCATCTGCAAGTTTTCAAAGCATTCGGTTTTGTAGATTCCAAATTAAATGTCAAAATGTTGTTTCATAATTTTGATTTTTTTTCCAAAAATCTGGACGTTTCGGGTAAAATCTCAATTCGGAGTCATAAACTACATGTGTAGGACTATGTTATTTCATACAATCGAAAACCCAATTACTATGTACAATTTTGAAGTGACGTCATCACATTAGTGGTGAGGATGATTAGACAAATTTTGGTTAGCGTTTCGTCATCTACATGATATACCTAATATAAATACAAAATTTGACAACAATTGGCCCAGCACTTTCGGAGATTATCTGTATAATAAAAATCCTGGACGGCAGACAGATGGACAGACGGACAGACGGACAGACGGACAGACGGACAGACGGACAGACAGACGGAAACGGGAGACCTATTTCTTCGTCCTCTAGAGGTCGAGAAAATGTAAAGGTAGAGAGTGGGCCGACGGACTCGATTACAATACTTCCTTTGCTTACGCTCGGAAAGTAAAAAGATACTAGAGAGCCCTAATATTGTTCAAACTTTCCATGAAATCTTAGACTTTTCAAAAATTGTATGTTTCGACCGATTTTGCAGGTTCTTAACATTCTGAAGAATAAGTAAACATTGTACAAATTCTAGATGTTCTAGAAGTCTTGTAAATTTGCGATATTGGTAAGTATTAGAGTGTCTAGACATTTTAGAGATACCAAAAATTCTAAGTATTTTAAAAAAATTTAGAATTTCAATAGACACTAAATATTCCAGCATTCTGGATACACAATAAAAAGCTGCGTTGAATTTTTTTCGAGTGCTGCTATATAAACTTCATATACAGGACTCCATACAATTGAAGAATACTCCAAACGAGATCCAGCATAGGTGAGCAAAAGAGGTTTAGAATATCTCTGTTTTGTATGTCACTGGAGTTTCCAATAGCAAATCTTATAAACCATACTACAACTATCTCAAATGTTTACCAAACTTTAACTTTGTACCGAAAGTTACACCAAGACCCCATGCGTAATGAGATCTTTGCAACACTGAACCATATATGGTATAGATTTATAGGTACACTACAGAATTTAACTTTCCAAAAAAAAAAATTACTATGCACTTATTCAAGTCAAATTCATTTGTAGTTGACCAACCAAGCAATCTCTGAAGGCTACTTTGAAGAATTATACAGTCATCTGTTGTTTCGATTTCGTGGAATATTTTTAGATCATATTAAATAATAAAGAGCCTAAAACAGACCAGGTGGGATTCGCGAAGATTGGCAAAACTTATCAGGACAGAATCCTTGACAGTAAACGTAACTTTCATTTAAGCATGACGAACAAGATCAATAAAGCCAAAACATTGCAATTTATATAATAAGATCTTATGATTGATACGATCAAAAGCCTTAGAGAAGTCCATGTACGCGCAGTCGACCTGATCTCGATTACCTAGAGTTGTATACATCCGAATGAAGCACAGTTTCGAATATTTTTGAGAAATTATTAATAATAGTAATTGGACGATAATTTTTTCCAATACCTGTACTGCCCATTTTATGAACCGGTACAGTGTGAGATAATTTCGATTTTTCTGAAAAATCGATGTTGATATTAACTTAAATTGTCAAGAAACAAGGCAGTCAGTATAACTATTAATAAATATAAGACAACAAAATTTTAATAACATCATTTTTTTATAACAATGTTGAGCAATTTATACTTTATATTCGATCCTTGAACTACACCATTTTTTGAAAAATAAGTCAGTGATTTATGACTATATTATTCAACATGCTGAGTTCGACGGAGTGAAATAAGATTATTATGCATTTATACAAGCCAAATTTAGAGAGACCACATCGAATACGTTGACAAAATCATTATAAATACGAATTTATCCAAGACATTAGACACTGATTGAATAAATTCAATTTAATAATCCGACATGTCTATGTATAACGACAGCTAAGATTTTGGCGAAATTTTTAATAATACATACGTACCGATAGTTGTTAATAAAATATTGAATTTATCATCAGATTTGCAAACAGAAATAAGTTTGGCGATTTTCCAAGATCGGGAAAAACAGGTTTCAACAAATAAGTGAAACAGATAATTTGATAGATCACGTAAGCATATAAATCAGTATTTCAGGATATTTATTACCTAAAAAAAAATGAAACTACCGTTCAGATATCTATGTAGATCCAACAATCAGCATTAAACTAATCAGTGTACTAAAATAATAATAATAATAATAACAAGAGTTCTTACGCAAAGTCCATTTTCGACCAATTGGTCCACAATAGCCGCCCCGATGCCAGAACTAGCTCCAGTGACGACGGCCACTTTGCCTGCCCATCTACTCATAGACAAAACCATGATGCGTCTATACTGTTTGTTGGTAAACACAGGACTGTTGCAATTGCTCCTCTGCAGTTAGTGCATTTGTTGCACTGCCAAGGTTAAAACTATTGCAATTTTATTGCAGTACTTGGTTTTATAAATAAGGTCTAACCTTGCGATTTTATGGCTTATCTACGGGATAGTCATTTCCTTCTGAATTACGATTTACAAGAAACTTTTTTTTCTGTTAAAATGCGGTTGCTGATGACTTTGTGTTTTATTGAGGTTAATGTGTTTATATATTTGTTGAATGCTTTCGTACTCGAGATTCCTTTTCTGTTAGTGACTCAGCAATTAAATCGTGATTTAATGTCTTTTATGTTGATTTCGCCTTGTGTCGATAATTAGAAAAATGATGTGCAACATGTTACTTCCTACGTGAAGGTTGTAGTAATAAATGTCACTCGGTTCTAATTATTGCATATTTTTGTACTGCTGGTACCTATATAATTATCGTTTTTGCTTTTACGATGTTCGGTTTTTATCTATCTGAAATATTTTTTAAATATTCTATGTAGGACTTTCATAAGTTCATGTTTGTCGGTATTATTAACATGATAAATGGTTTAAAAAACAAAAAAGACTGGTTAAAACTTATGGATTTTTATTATTTAAACATATTAATGTAGTATCATCCTAAATCGTTATTCAACGCACGTGTAAATGAAAAAAGTGCAAGATCATAACACGCCTTTATAAAAAAATGTTTCAAATGACATCACCGCCATTCTGAAGTGAATGAATAACTATTTATGTTTTTACTCAAGTTTACAGTTTTTGAGATAATATAGATATGTATTATAAAATATAGATAGATAAATTGCCAAATTTAATTCGCACATGAATCTATCTAAATGATATCTGTTGAACATATTCGATTAATATTTTTTTGTGATTAATAATTTTTTTTTCAGGAAGATATAAATCAGTTATATTGTTTTGTAAAACACCATTTAAAATGGCAGCTAATAAATAATATGTTCAAAATACGATTTAAAATATTCTAAAATTATTACTAATACATTTTTTTCTTGAAAATGCATAATTTATATTAATTTTCTTCAGTTTAAAAGAAAATATTGTGAAAGTGTTAATAAGTTCCTAATAATTATGGTAACACTTTCCGCAAACGTTCTTCAGTTTTAGATGGTGTAAATGTGTTATGGTCACAGATGATGGTGGGGCATTAATAAGGTTGATTGACGAGTTGGTAAATCTGGTCATGGGTGTGTGGACGTGTAAAATCTCCTTCCGATACCATGGGCACTGAGAGAACTCTCAGGTGGGGCGCATTTTGCCCATGACATATTAGGTTGGCGAAAGCCATGGGCAATATGCCTTAGATAAACAATTATTAAAGTAATTTTTAAGGTACTTCGCTTCTTAATCCAAACTAAATTGAATGTGTTTCGGCACTAAATAAGCGAAATTAGAGATACTTGCTGGACCGAAGTTAATCCCATGCCCAAGGAGCGACGATGATCACGGACTGGAGTTAAGGTGTCGGATTAGTGAATGCACGACTGGGACCGGAGTTGAGGTTCCCCGGTATCTGGGAGGAGTTAGAGTTGTCATTTTTCTTATTTCAAAATAAACGAATTATCCTAAGAAGTGGATATTACTTTTACACCTTGACATATATAAAAAAATACACTATCTAACCTCTTGGAATCAAGACATTGTCGAAAATCACTTATTTTTTTATAAGGAGCTGGGTCGTCTGCATATGTTGGATGTATGATTGTTATTCATACATACGTACCGAAAAAGATTGATATAAAATGAAACACAAACATGTGCTGTGTAACACTGTATTTACTTGTTGTTGACGGTTCGGAGTCTATGTACAAAGTTGTTAAAATCGGAAGGGATACATTGCAGGTAGAAGAGAAAGTTGGGGACGCTTGTTGACAAGGGTTGCGGTTGGTAGGTAAAACCGAAACCCGAACATGGTCCAGCGCCTTGAAAGAACTAACTTTCAACATGACAAAATATAACAATTACAAATATGAAATACATAATATGTGTCTACATGACAGGTGCATACATTGACAATGAAATAGAGTACAGAACACATAGAAAAAAAGGGGTAAATTTAGACACTGCACATTTGTTTATGTCGGAAGCACACACAGCTTAGTCACTTGCAGGTTAATCACATCATGCGCGGTTCTCACTGTCACTACGCGAATGGGGCCATGTAGACCGGGATGAACAGTAATAACGCGTCCCAGTGGTCCATATAAGCGGGAGTGTGTGGTCTTCCTTAACGACCACCAAATCGTCCACCTTATGCTGTTGTGGCTGGCCTTGGTCCATTTTGGGCGATGATGAAGTTGGCCCATATGTTCTGCTGTCCACCGTTTCCAAAATTGCTGCTGAGTGCGGCTGAATTCTTGCCACCTGGAGAGCCGGTTCGTTGAGACCGTGGTGACGTTATCCTCTGGAATAACAGTTAGAGGGGTTCCAACGAGGAAGTGGCCGGGAATTAAAGGAGTCAGGTCATTTGGATCTTTGGACATGGCGGTTAACAGGCGCGAATTCAAGCACGTTTCGACTTGTATTAGCAACGTCTGTATTTCCTGGAAATTAAATAAAAATGCACCAGTAACGCGCTTCAGCCGACTTTTCGCAGATTTGACCGTCGCTTCCCAGACACTCCCCATATGTGGTGTGGAAGGCGGAATGAAATGAAAATTCATGTGGTTAGTTGTCAAATCATTCAGCAAATTTGTATTCGAAGCCCGTTTGGCTAAAGTGACACGTGCTTGGTAAAGCACGGGATCATCCCACCACAAAGTTTTTTCGTATCGTCTGTCTTCGAGTTGAAATAAAATTTGATGATACATGTTACAAATGTCCGCAGTAAAAGTGACCTCATGCGTCCTAGATCGAATTATTGAATCGGAAATGTCGTTTTGTATTTTTGGCCCTGTACTCAGACAAGCATTTATGCTTTTTCCGACTAATGGTTTGACTGACCCGTCAAACACTACGCAAATCTTATCAGTGACCCCGTCATTTTTGAAAACCGCGTGGTGAGGCAAGAGGTAATAGGGTTCACTTTCGATTCTATGCTCTGTCAATGGACCTAGTAAACGCATATGACCCAAATTAATGGTTTCTTTTATAAAATTATGATAGTTGATTTCTAACATAATATTTTTTGCGAACTTAAGTTCCGATGAGTACAATCGTTGAAGCGCGATTTCTTTCGAATTCCTCAAAATTGGGAAACTCTTGCTAAAGGTTAATCTGACTTGAAATCGTCCGTTGGACAATCGAGTAGCATTGTTAATAAAATAGTTCTCATGTTGTATTTCAAGAGCTGTGAGCGGCTTATCATCGTTTGAATAACTTTCAAGTTTCCAGAACTTTTCAACCTGGTTTTCTAAACTGACATTATTGACCGCGCAATGTAGATTTTGACGAGTGTTACTGGTGGGGCATCCATGCAATGGCCCTCCTACAATCCAACCTAATAAAGTTTTTTGTAATATTAAGCCATGTCCTATCGTTTGAATTTGACCTACACATAACAGTTGCCAAAATAATCCAGCTCCGATTAACAGATTGATTGGCTGTGACAAATTGAAATTAGGATCGGCAAGTTTTACCGCTTCAGGTATGTCCAGCTCATCTTTAGAAAAGGTACGGACAGGTATGTTCTTCGAAATTTTTGGGATTACCAGACAATTTAAAGCTGTTGTAAATGAGTAATGCAACGACTCGATCTGTACCTGAACCTTTTGTCTAGCGGTTGTATTTGAACATTGAATACCTGCTACGACCACATTTGCATTTTCTGTACTTAAACCCAATTTGTTAGTGGCGGCTTCAGTAATAAAATGCGATTCTGAACCCACGTCTAACAAAGCCCGGAATTTTTGAAATTTGTTTTTACAATCCTTTATTAGAATTATTGCTGTAGACAAAACGGCTTGTGGAAAAAGGGCGGATGAGCAATAAACTCCACTGGTACTAGGCGGGTTTTCGTTTGAATGGGAGGGTTGGTCACTATGTAAAAGTGTATTATGTTTCAATTGGCATAATTTACATGACATAGATTTACAGCTATCGGACGTATGCGATGGTTTGAGACAATTTTGACATAATTTCAACCTATCTACCTGAGACCTTCTTTCCGAAACACTGAGTTTTGAAAAGGTAACACAGTTGTAAATTAAATGAGATTTTTTACAAAAATAACAAGTGGATTGTGTACTATTGCGATTTACTGCCGCTGTAAATGTAGACACCTTTTGTGTTTTAAATGTATTATAAAAAGGTAGCCATTCAGTATAAATTCCGCTAAACGGTTTAATAACATTCGGGAGCAACTGCACCGATGGTGACGGTGTGCTCGTAGGTGCGTTACCTTGCGGTGCAGGTGAAGATGTGTTAACGCGTTTTTGTTCAATAGCATCTTCGACATCTGCACATAAATCGTAATACGCGTTTTCAAAATAAAGTCTTGTGGTAGCTTGTTCTAAATCGGGGGTGGCGTCATCAAGAGCTTCAATCTGAGAATGGATTTTGTCAAACTGAGCCTTAATACGTACAAAATCGCGCAATCTTACTCTTAGTCGAGAAGCGGATGTACTTAGAATGTTTGTTTCAAACCACAACTTGAAACGCGATATTTCGTCGTGAATGCGATTTCTTTTTAAGAATAAAATTTGTAAATTTCCTGCATCCTCTGGTGTAGGATTTGAGTCCGAAAATGTTTCGGCATTGTCGTCACCTTCCGCGCCTGCCATGTGTGGAGTATGGAAAGTTTGCGAACGCGTCATAACCATTTGAAAAACCGCTTAGTTGAAATACGTGAAACTGGTACAGTTCGGGCAAGGTAAATGGTACTTGCCAATGAAATTGAAATAAAATGACATGCAATTACGGTCGAATGCGTGCTTGACCGGAAATAGATAAAGAAAAGGAATAGTTAGAACCCACTCACCGCAATAAGGCCCTCTGGCACCTGGGACGGCTAGACTGATTCGCTGCTATCCTGTCCGGTTGGGAATTTCCAATGGCTGGATCCTGTCTCCCGATGCAGGCGTCGAAAAT